ATCTCCCCCCACCCACCCCAATCCCCCTTCCTTCCCTCCCCTTCCCTGCTCTCTCCTCCCCTCCCCCAGACTAGAGCCAGGCACCCTCTTCCCCTCCCCCCATCCCACTCTAACCTAATTCTCGGGTCCCGGAGCCACCGCCACTACAGTTGCGCATCTCCCTCCAGGCGCTGGGGTGTGTGTGCTGAGTGTCCGTCATGCCGTGTGCACACCTTTCCCCTTCCCCAGAGCCAGACACCTTCCCTTCCCGCTCTAATCCAATCTCTCTTCCCGCACTAACCTTATGCCCAGAGCCGCTGCTAGCACGTGCAGGCTGGGACCTGAGTGTGACCTGGCCAGCATGTGCAGGATATGACACAGTGCGCTGGGGGCTGTGAGTGGAATGGCACAGGCCGTGAGCACGCATGTGCCTTACAGCAGCCCGGCCGTGAGAGCGGCTGACCTGAGTGGTTCTGGGTTCTGTCCCGGTTCCGTCAGGAGCTGTAATTTTTTTCTTCACGAGCCGCGTACAGCTCGCGAGCCACAGGTTGGCCACTCCTGCTATAGTCCTTTTTACGTGTGGTGAATGTTTGAACTTCCACGCTGCGGCTAACAGAAGTGCAGCTGTGCCAATATTAACAATGTTGGGATCCCTAGTGTGGATGGGGTTAAGGCTGTTGAGGTGACTTTTAACACCATTTTTAGTTGGATCCCCGAAGGAGACATGAGGCTTTTAAAAAACAAAAAGCAATTAAAACTGTATCTGTGCTAGGATTCCCAGTGTTGCTAGTACTAGGGCAGCTAGATCAGTGTTATCTAGGGTAGAATTACTTTGGTACAAATTTGCTAGTGTGTGGACTGTGTGGCGTAGGGTTACTATAGTTGAACTTTCAAAAATGAGGACACACCTGAGAGGGAGTGTATCTGTGTCTACCAGCTCATGTTGTATATTATATCAGTGTTTCTCAATCTTTTTATATAAAGTATCCCTTTATATATAATATTTTTTTTAAAGTACCCCCAGTGCCTACACTTTTCAGACAAATTTTTTTCCTACCATTGCAACACATTTGTTTAAACAACTTAATCGTATCTGGGTGGGTGATTAAATTTTTGGGTGTAAAAAGTACATAATACTAATAAAGTGCTGTAAAACTTAAAAATTCAGTTTTCCTCCAAACTTCAGTTGTTGGCATACCCTCCCAGACTTCTCTCGAGTACCCCTAAGGGTACTTGTACCACTGGTTGAGAAACATAGTACTATATAACACATTGACACAACATGAGCTGGTAGGTGTTGATACAGATACACTCCCTCTCAGTTGTGTCCTCTTTTTTGAAAGTTCATATATGGTAACCCTCAGGAGCCCTCTCGGCCCCTTCACATTTTAGAAGAAATGCAGAAGAACTTCTCCTGAGCTTCCCTTGTCCCTACAGATTTGCAGTATTATAGCTGACTGGACTTTTCACAGAGTTAACCATGGTTGCATCTCCTATGAATCCTTTCTAGATAAGCACCTTATGAGCTCTGTAGAAATATCTATTGCCTGTGTTAATATGGGCTTATCCAAGGCTTAGAACACTGTCCAATCATAACCAGTTTCATCCATAATCAGCAAAGGCCCTGCTTCTCAGTGAGGGCAATTTCCATTCAAGTTTGTGTTCAAAGCTTCAGCCATTTTTTTTTCTGCAGGGATGTTTGAATTGAAAGTCACAAGAATTTTTTGTTTTTAGTAAGGGGAAAAGTATAATCTTGTGCTCAAAAATAGTTGAACTGCTTTCCCTCTTTTTTTTTTTTAATCACCCTTGGGCAGACATCAAGCGTAGAAAATTTTAGCCTGAAGGCAGAATGTTTCAGAGAAAGCGCAGCGAACGGAAGAAGAAAAGGGAGTGGAGAACCATAAAAAATTTCCAGTCCTTCTGCAGACCCATGCACTGTTTTCTTCTGTGCCAGTGTTTGGTACACTCACCAGAATGCTTTGTAATTGAAATTCCTGCCAGTTTTGGCAACCATAATTCATGGATAAACTTGTTAGAAATAACCCAGCTATTTCCCCCCAACTTACTTTTTGTTTTCCTTCTCTTTGCAAAGTGAGAAGAAAGTAGGTAGAATTCTTTCCATCGGTAGAATTATTGGTCACACATGCAAGCCTCTCATTTAGAAGCAACATGGCCCCAGCAGAGTGTCCCTAGGAATGTATGCTTTTGGTATGTGTACATCCTCCAAGTGGTGGTGGTAATTAATAAAGGACATTTTCCTTTGGAATTGATGCTGAATCAGTTCCCCTCTGTAATATTACATGTTGGGCTGCTTGTGGTGCTGTTTCAAATGAGCTATAAATCTAAAGTGCTGGCCATTCAGTATAGAAGGACTCTGAGACATGTTTTAAAGGGTAAGGATGTTTACTGGGGTGTCCTGGCCACATTCTAGTTGGGGAAATTTAAATTCTGCAAACCTGAATTCCTATGTAGTGCCAGGTGGATGCAGTATTCTTTACTTCCTGGCTAACCTGTTCTATAGGAAGAGGCTGGTGGTGTTTGTGCTGTTAAATAGCTGTTTCATTTCACCCTAGAGTAAGCCTGTTAAATATCGGTTAATTGACTACTCGAATAATTGATGGAATTTCATCGACAAGTTGACAGGCACTTCTGCATTCCTCAAAGGAGGAATTCAGAACTCCGCGTGTAGCCCAGGGCCAGTGGGAAGTCCTGCTGACTCCAGGCTGCATGCAGTGCACCAGCTTTGAAATATACAAGAGTCCCCAGCAGGGGCTCTTGTGCATTTCAAATCAGCAGCACAACATGGAGCCCAGGGTAGGTGGGGGGGCTCCATGCTGCACTGCCGATTAGAAATGCCACATGGAGCCGGGGTCAGCTCAGGACTCCCCTGCTGACCCTAGGCTCCACAGCGGAGGCGGAATTCAAAGGGCAGTGCAGCACAGCTGAGCCGCCAGGGATCAGCTGTGCGGTGCTGCTCTTTGAATGCTGCCTCAGCATTTCAAAGGGACAGCCCCGCACAACTGAGCCTGGGCTCAGCTGTGTGGTGCTGCCCCTTTGAAGTACCCTCTCCCCGCCCTCTTTGCTGCCTCTGTCTGATAGAGGCAGCAGGCGGGGGGGAAGCTTTTGCTTATCGGATAGTCGACTAGTCCTTAACATCCTTTACCCTAGATGTGGCTGTGAGTGATCCTTATGTCTTTACCTAACCATCTCAGAGAGTGCTATGAGTGCTTAGAAAGCATTCTAAGATCACATGTGAAAAACATGGTGTGAATGCAGAAAATTCTTACCTTTGCGTCCATACAGTTGAGATTAATCTCTGCCTTTTTTGTATTTTTCCCCTTTGGGTTTGACAGGGCTCAGTTTGAAGGAGGCTCTTTAGAAACCCTGGTGGAACCACTTTCCCAAAGGCACAATGATAGTGGTGACTGGAGTCATGTCAGCGCCCGAGTTGGGTTCCACTGCCACTACCCCTGTTGCAGCCCCCAACTTCTCCTGGATGCCTGACGATGGCAGCCCCACGGCTATGGAGCAGCCAATATTCCTAATGACCACTGCGGCTCAGGCCATCTCAGGTTTCTTTGTGTGGACAGCTTTGCTCATCACCTGCCATCAGGTAAGACTCTCTTGGTGTTTGATCCCTGTAACACTGTCCACCCAGTTTTTGGGGGGAGAGGGTAAAGATACATGGAGTGAGGGATGTCTCTGCCCTTTTGGCAGGATGGGGGTAGCTCCAGAGTGGTGCCAAATCCCTGTTTTTGGGGTTTGTTAGTGACCAGAACAGGAATGATTCTGTTTCAGCTTAGCTCTCCCCTTCTACTTTGAGTTACTGTGTGAGATAATCATTCCCCACCTTTCCCCCTGCCAAGATGAAAAATATTTTAGCCTATAACTCAATAAATGGAACTAGTGCTTAGTACTGTATTAGGCAAATGTTTAAGCGGAGAGAGAATCTTTAGCTTCAGGTGAAGTGGTAGAAGGGCTGTATGAGAGTTGTGGAGGTGCCTACACCTTGTTGCTTAGCGATCTGCTCGGTTCCCTGAGAACATGCTGATGCATAGGGAGGAAGCAGCAGGAGAAACAGAACTCCATCTTTCTGAAGAGGTGCAATATTTTGTGTGCATATGGGGAAAAAAAGAAACATGCAAGTTTGAGGTTTGGTGACTATGGCACAATTCTGCATAGTATCGCAGTAGCCAGGGAGCTGCCTACACACGTCTCCTATTTCTCTTTGTCTTCAGGCTTGTAATAATTAAACTTCCTCTAGCTATAAATAGAGCCCTGCATGGATATAACATTTGTATCTGCACCCATATCTGCAAAAACGAGCCACAGATATTCACATCTGCGGATGCGGATACCTGTGGATTTGCAGGGCTCTAGCTATGAGCCCCAGGGCATTGACAGGTGAGGAGAGGGGAGGGTATTATAAAGGATGTGGAGGATCAAGGATCTTTCTGTCAGGCTCTCAGTTGCAGTGGCACAAGCGGATTGTCGTACTGGGTAAGGCCATTGGCCCATTCAGTCTGGTATCTCATAGCTGTAGCTAGTGGCTGTTGTCACAGTTACTGCACTAGCTGAAAATCTGTCGCCCTTTTTGGTCTCTAAGTGCACCCCGTCAGATCTTAGACCTCATGCCTCATCTCTGTCAGGGAGGAATTCTGCAACTCTCCCACTCAGACCAAAGGTTCTCTCTACCATTATTGCCTAGCAGATCTGATTTGAGTTCTGGCATCTGCAGTTCTTCACTTGGGAAGTCTGTGACCAGTCAGCTTGTTAAACCAATCATACGGTTTAAACTTTTTTTTTTCTGTTAAAAATAGAGAACACGGATTTATACTGGGGTGGGGAACCTGAGGCCTGGGGGCCAGATATGGCCCCTGGCTTGCCTGCATCTGGCCCCAGAGGCTCAGGGCCCCTCCCAGCATTGGAGAGCCCACATTGGTGCTCTACCCCCCACCGCTGCACCACCAAGGGGCTGGAGTGCATACAGTCTAGCCTGGGCCCCTGTAGGCTCTGGTGTGTGGAAAAAAATGTGAGGAGTGCCTTTCTCCTCAGTCCAGGCCATATCAGTAAGGGTGGCTTTTTGTGTATGTGTGGCCCCTGGCTAACTTTTTTTTTTCCCCTGTGTATGTGTGGCCCCTGGCTAACTTTTTTTTTCCCCCCCGTGGATCAACGGCCCCTGACCCAAAAAGGTTCCCCATCCTTGATTTATACATTAACAGTCTGCAAGTATCTCTTATCTACTGGCCTGTCACCCCCTGAGAGCCACCCAGGCAGGCCTAGCTTCTTCAGACACTAACAGTAGGGTATCAGGCATCTGAGTCTGTTTTCCCTGTACAACTCCCTCCTCTCCCAAGAGTGTTCCTTTTTTAAACCTGCCAGAGTCCTGTTAGTCAGCTGTGTTAGCAGACCTTTGTTAGCCAAAATCTTCAAAGCTAGTAGCCTTGGCATTGCCCCTCAACAGCGCTTGTGGAGAGATGGCTTATCCCAAACTGCTCTTTGCCTGCCTGCCTGATTTTCCTGATAGCTTCTAGTGTGTTAAACCAATATAGTCATACAGGAAACACCCCAATTGCCAGACCAGCGTATAGTATTTGAGTTATGGCAGAGCTGCTCCGAACCCATCACACCTGTTTCAGAGGAATGTGAACTCCCACCTCCCGTTCAGTAGTAATACTCAACTTGGCCTTTTGAGTAGTGCTCTAAGTGGGGGTAGTGACATGTGACAGCACCCTGTTTTGCCTCTGGATGGCGCCACCGCCTGTGAGATCTGATAATTAGGTCGGTCAGGCTGATGCCCCTTTCAGCAGTTACACCCCATCATTTTCTCCTCTGCAGCTCCTTTCTCACTCTCAGAAGCCACTGCTGCCCTCTCCCTGGCGCAGCCCCCTGGCCAGTAGGTCACTGTTGCAGTGCCCCTCCCAGAGAAGAATGAGTCAAGGTTCCTGCTCTCCAGCACTCTTCTGCTTCACTGCCTCTCAGTGCCACAACCCCATCCTGCCCTCTGCTCCCATTTGGGCTCAGAGATCCTTTATGCAGCAGGCAAGGCCCATTCCCTGTCCCTTGCTGCCTTTTTGTGAGCTACTTCCATGCCTCCTTGCACCTCCCCACTTCTCTGGGTTTGCCAGTTTCTTCACTCTCCCCCTCCCAGGGAGTAACTGTAGGCAACTTATCTCTGTAGCATCTCAAACAAATCTCCCTGGAGTGACCATATCCTTCTCCCTACTGCCCCATCTTTTTCCATTTGCCTGTCTTTTATAGAAGCCCTTCCTTTCTCTCATATGTGAGCATCTCTCTAATTAGCTTCCTCCAGCCTAAAGCTTCCCCCCTTTGCAGCTTCATTAGCTGATTGGGCTCATCTGATCCAACGCTGCTTTTGCAGGGCCATTGTGGGATGCACACCCCATCACTTGGCAGGATAAGCAGGTGATTGTGCCAGAAGTTAGGAGGCTTAATTACCCTCTTTTCTTATCTGGCCATTTTGTAGTTATGACAGCTATTAGTTCATTAAACGATCAGCTGTTTGTTTTAAATCATCCAGGCTGCAGTGCCTGCCTTGATGGCCTTCCCTGCCAGTGAATTCCACAAGCTGATTTCCGCTACGGAAAGGAGTAGCAGGAAATGTTTGTTTTGCTTTTTCTCTCTTTCTTCTGGGGCAACGCCTGGCCACCCTATGTCATCCGGATTCTCTGGGTGCCAGAGCAAGTCCAATCCAACATCCCCTTCTCTAGTGTAGTTATCATGTGGACTGTAACACAAAATGGGAAGCACATGCCCTGAAATTTATCAGGCTGTGTTTAGTACTGGTGTGGAGTTTAGATTCCAGAGAACTGAGTTGGAAAATGACAGCATATTGTAAAGGCAAATAGTCTAGGGAGGTCTGAAAAGAGATCCGTCACTGATGAATAAGATAACACTTGTAATGCCTCTAGCTTTGGTAAGAATACGTGCTATCGACCTTCCTGCTTCAGGGTGCACATTGAACAACTGCTGAGAGTAGGAAAAAGTTCTTTCCCTGGTATAGCACTGCAGGTGTTGGAGACAGAGGACTGGATTAAATGTGCCTTTGATCTGTCAGATGGCATTCCCTACCTGATGTGATCTTGTGCACACAGTGAAAGGCTCCAGTGAGATCCCTCTCAGCGTTAGAGGGAAACCTGGAGTCGCTTGACTTGTGATGCTTAGTATGCTTGGGGGTGGGAGGGTATTTTATATTCCCATAGCACCAAGGAGCCTCAGCCACGGAGCAGAATCCTCTTGTGCCAAGCACTGTGCAAGCAGAGAACAAACAGATGGTCCCTGCCCCAAGGAGCTTGCATTCTAAGTATAAGATAAAATCCAGTAGATGGGTAAAGGCAGGGGAATACAAGAAACCATGAGACCAGATTGGCCAGTATGACAGGCAGTTGTCTCAGCATACCAGCTGCCTCGCTGCCAGGATTTTTGTAGACCTCTCAGCCGAGGAGAGGTCTGCCAGGATTTTTGTAGACCTCTCAGCCGAGAGGGTTTTTTTGAGGGTGGATTTGAAGATGGATAATGAGGCAGCTTCCTCCCAGTGTGTGGGCCAGCTTGGGAGAAAGCATGAAGATGCTTGTTTCAACACTCAACAAGAGGGAATTGGAGACGAGCAGTATGAGCTGGCGAAATCAGCTATTGCCTCTAGATAGTGAATAAGAGATCAGGTGGTAAAGAGCCTTGAAAGTGACTATAAATAGCGTATGTTTGATAGGAAGGAGGGGGCCAGTAGAGGGATTGAAGGAGAAGGGGCAATGTAGTCCAAGTGACGAGCTAGAAGAATGATCTTTCTAACAGTGTTCTGAATGACTGAACAGGGGAAGAGGGGAACAGGAGAAGGTATTTGTCAGGCCCGAGTAAAGGATGTTGCAGTCATTGAGACAATGAGAACAGGGAAGAGATTTAGCTATGTGGACAGATAGGAAAGTCTGTATCTGAGATGTGATGCAGAAAGAATCTGCAAGATTTAGATACAGCCTGGCTATGAGGATGTTGACAGAGGCCTGAGTCATAGGCAACAGCTACCCATGTTATACAGTGATGGGCAGGATGATGGTGGTGTTCACAGTCATGCAAAAAGGAGGTAGCCAAGAGCTGTCTCCTAGCCATACTGAGTTTGAATTAGCAGTTAGACATCCATGAGGAGAGGTCGGAGAGACAGGTCTAACTTCTAGATTGGACAGGAGAAGACAAGTCTGAGCTAGAAATCTATGAATTGTCATCAGTGATGGGCAACCTGTGACCTGCAGACCCCTCTCTGTCTCCTCCCACCCGCATCACTGGGGCACTGGAGCCCCACACTTCCTACACCTCCTTCTAGCTCCCAGCCTTTTTGGAGCACCATGAATCCACTGATTTGTGCTCTGTCCCCCACTCCTCTCCCTTCCTCCCTGAGCAGATCAGCTGTTCGGGGCTGTTCAAGCTCTGGGAGGGTGTGGGAGGAGCAGGGACAGAGGACAAATCAGTGAGTTCATGGTGCTCCAAAAGTGTTGGGAGGGAGGGGGAGTGGTAGGAAGTGCAGGGCTCTTCCCCAGTGCGCAAAAGGTGCGGAGGAGGGGGGAGGGCACCAGACAGGGACGCTGCAGGTGGAACCCTAGTAGGCCACAGGCTGCTGTGACCCACTAAGATGGAGTGCCACTCACTCTTTTTCGTTGCTCATCACTGAGCTACATGGAGAAGGTTCAGTTTGAGTTTGCAGGGAGAAGATGTGGGAATCAAGGACGAACTCCTTGAAAACCCCTGCAGAAAGTTGAAAGGGGGATGATGAAGAGGAACCTGTGAACAAGCAGTAAGAGAGGGACAGGACAGTTGCAGGAGCCAGGACAGGACAGTTGCAGGAGCCAATGGAGGGTCAGAATTTCAAGAGAGTGTGGCTGACTGTGTTAAAGCTGCCTGACAGGTCAAGGAGAATAAGGAAGGAATATGGTTCTGAGCTTTGGCTAGGAAGAGTTTATTAAAGACTGTGAGATCAGTTTTAGTTGCATGCAAGGGATGGGAACCAGATTGGAGAGGCTGTAATATGGAATGGGAGAAACGGAATTTGAAGGATTAAAGCTGGATTGTAAGGAAAAACTACATGCAAAAGACCTTGTTCTAGAGCAGGGGTGGGCAATAATTTTTATTGGGGGTTACTTCAGAAATTTTTGAAGTGGTCCTGGGCCATCCTGGAAGAGGCGGGGGGAGGGAGGTCTCAGGCAGAGAGGCAGTGTCAGGACACTTCCTTGCTTCCCTGCCTGCAGACCCTGATTGGTCTGTGGGTGGGGAAGCGCATGAAGTCTTTGCCCCTCCCCCCTGAGAGAATCGCTGTTCTGTACAGCTGGTGGTTCCCTCTAGGCGCCCATGTCCCTGGTGGTGGGAGGAGACTTCATGTGCTCCCCTCACCCCCAAGCCCTGATTAACCTGGGGGCGGGGGAAGCGCCTGAAGTCTTCTCCCACCCTGCAAGGGGCTTGGCACTAGAGTCAACTGCCAGCTGCTGCTCAGCTGGCGGGTGACTAAGTGTGGCACTCTTTTGCAGGGCAGGGGCAGCCTTGATTGGCCTGGGGGTGGAGGGAGTGCGAAATCTCTCACTCCCTGCCCTCCAGCGCGCAACACTTACTGTCAACCACCAGGTCCTCCATCACTAGGCCCTGATTGACCGTCAGTATGTGCTGTTAGGCTTTTTTTCTTTACCCAGGCCATGTTTCCCTACTAGGTGTTCATTTTGGTAAAGGTGAACTTGGTTAGAAAACAGAGATGCTGGGGGAGAATTTTTTTAGGTGTGTGACTTAGTTTAATTTTGAAATGACTAATGAACTCCCTGACCGTTGTAGAAAGTGGATGGGATTGTGACATGGTATCTGTCTAAGCCAATTATTCTGAGTGACTAAAAATTTTCAGTTCTATTGGTTATCAACTGCACAAGTTTTATGACTTTATGGTTCTGTGCAAAGTCCAGTTTCAGAGCTATGAAATGCCAGCCTCTTGCCCACCTACCAGAGCAGTACATGTAATGGCTGCGCTGTCAAAATAGTAATACAACTTACCAGCGAGTAGTGGAGTTTGGCACTTATCCATCTACTTACAACATTTGTGAAGGAACTTTCTGGTGTTTTTTCATGACAGTCGTGAGAAAGCGTATAAAACTGCTCAGAGATCAAGATGTCACTTTAACAATAACAACAACCTGATATGCTCATCCTATATGATTGAGGCCTTGAAAACATGAGACCGCACTTGGTGGTAATTAGCAAAAAATAATAAATGAATTTTCAGTCCTGTCTCATTAGAAATTGTACTTTAACCCCCAGCTCACTTCACACAGGCCACTGTGAGTGGCCATATGAAAGTAACCATTTTTTTTCCTGCCATCTTAAGACTGCATTAGATCACCTGCTCCAAAGAGGAATCTGTATTTTGGTCTCAGTCCCCCTTGGCTGTCCCAATCACTGATCCTGTTCTGCTTCTTCTTCCATTCAGATTTACATGCACCTGCGCTGTTACAGCTGCCCCAATGAGCAGCGCTACATTGTCCGGATCCTCTTCATTGTGCCCATTTATGCCTTCGATTCCTGGCTCAGCCTCCTTTTCTTCACCAATGACCAGTACTATGTTTACTTCGGCACTGTGCGGGACTGTTATGAAGGTATGGAGGGGCCATATAGGGGATGGCAAAGCATGGGGGTTTTCTGTTACAGGCTGGAGCGTGGGGAGGGCCTACCTCTGTTCCATGGCTATAATTTGTATTGATATCAAACTAGATCTGTTGTTTGAGGCCTGGCTTAGTAACTAGGGAGCAATGTCTTCTGTCTTCCTGGCTGCTGTGGGAGTAGCAGGGTGTATATACTGGACTTCCCCTAGGATATAACTTAGAAAGACACACAAGCTTCTGAAGAGATTTTCTCACATGACAGGCTTGTGTTCATTCTTTCTAAGGAGGTGTAAAACTGAAGCACTGAATGCTTATCCTTGTTAAAGATCCAAAAGAATAGGGTGTTAGCCCTGGGGACCCGAGCAGACTTCAGGCTGGCCATTTATATTTTGTCCCTAAATCCCAATTGCAGTTTTTGTTAGCAATGTTACTCTCTCTTCCCATCCTGTGACTGTTTGCACGGTGTCCCTGGTAGGGATGTGAACGATTAGTTGACTATCTGATAAGCAAATGCTTATTGGATAGTTGACATGCTAGTTGACTAGTTGCTTCCCTCCCACCTTGCTACCTCTACCTGAAGGAGGCAGCAAGGAGGGGAGAAGGGGCGGTGCTTCAAAGCAGCAGTGCCATGTGGAGCCCGAGTTCTGTCGCTTTGAAACACTGTGTGCAGCCCAGGGCCAGCTGGGGACTCCACCACTGACCCCTGGCTCCATGCAGCACTGCCGCTTTGAAATGCCACATGGAGCCTGACACTGGGCTCCCTGCAGCGTTTCAAAGCAGCAGCACCACATGGAGCCCAGGGTCAGCTGGGGACTGAGAGCCCCCAGCTGACCCTGGGCTCCACGAGGATTGCCGCTTTGAAATGCCTTAGGGAGCACGGGGCCAGTGGGAGCCTGCTTGAGTCCCTTGCTGGTCCTGTGCTCCTCACAGCACTTTCACCTTTGAAGTGTAGCAACAGCCCTACAGTATTGCTACACTTTGAAGGCGGAAGCACCCTTATCAACTAATCGAATAGTCAATGCAATTTGCATCGACTATTCAATTTAGCCAGTTAATTGAAATTTTACATCCCCAAGTCCCTAGCACCGAAACTGCTACATTGCACTGTGGTAGCCACTAAGATTCAGTGGTGCTTTGGGATTCTATGGTCAGAAAGAATCAATATTGATTATTTATTATACTCTTTTAAGGATGTGACCCATCTATCTAGCAAAGGGAAAGATGCCTTGGGGCACATGAAAGTCTCTAAAATAAAGAGTTCACCTAAAATTTGTCCCTTCACCCTGTTCAGAAAAGAAGCCTTCTCCCCTCACCAACAGCACCCTAAGAGAGGCTGTACTCTCTGGCAGACAGTCCTGTTGGACTATAATTATTGTGCTGTTGGTGTGTGCGTGTGCACAATGACTAACCTGTATCTTATTTGTAGTGTTTGTTGTTAATGAGCTCTGTCTTGCAGGCAGAGAGGCCCGGGGATGAATCAAGAAGTTAATCTGCTCAAGGGACCAGTAACAATGCACTGATGTAAAAACAGATGGCAAACTCTTGTACAATCCAGAAGCCATTTTTTCTCTTTCCACCCCCCCCACTCTGGTTGTGTTTGTGTGCAAAGGCCTAGCAGAAAGCCTGCTGCTCTGAGAAACTCTTCTCCTAGCAACGGCTATTATCCCCTTTGCCTTGCCTAGGGAGTTTGCAAACATCAAAACATCTGCTCCAGGGGTCAGCTTGCTGCATTCAAAAGTTCAGTCACTTGACTTGCTGCTTGTGTTGTGTGTTGGGACATCACCTGCCCCCTTGTGTTTTCTGCACACTTTCAGAACTATGCCTAGTTAAAGCAGGAGATTGGAGATTTCAGGAGGGATCTTTCTCACTTTCAGAGGAGAGTTTTACTCTTGTGGAATAGATCCATTTGAAAACAATTAAAATAGTGACACACAAAAAAATCCATCACTAAACTTGAAATCTGTGTTGTACCAATCACGGGTGGCTCTCTGTGCTGTATCTTTTGGCAAGTGGAGTATATTTTGTTTTATCTTTTCTTTTATCCTGATTCCGTGCATACAAATTTGTGTTCTTATGTATGGAAAAGTAAAGCATTTGATACAGTCTCACATGACCTTCTTACTAATAAGCTAGGAAAATACGACCTAGATGGGGCTACTGTAAGGTGGGTGCATAACTGGCTGGATAACCTTTCTCAGGGTACGTCTACACTACAGCGCTAGTTCGAACTAACTTAGTTCGAATTAGTTAATTCGAACTAAGCTAGTTCGAACTAACGCATCTAGAACTAAAAACTAGTTCGAACTAGCGTTTTGCTAGTTCGAACTAGTAAGTCCACATTGAGTGGACTCTGAACAGGGCTTAAGGATGGCCGGAAGCAGTGCCGGCAGGGCATAAAAGGAGGACTTAGAGCATGGAGATACTGTCTCAGGCTAGCCGAGGGCTGCGCTTAAAGGGTCCCGACCCCCACCCCGGACACACAGTTCTAAGGGGTGCCCCGCTTGCAAAGAAGTTCTGGCTTGGAGTGCCCTGAGTGCCCACACTGGGCACATCACACCACTCGGCCATCAGCCCGGCTGCACTTGCCGCAGGCTGCCATCTGGGGAGAGGGAGTAATTGGGGGGCTGCAGGAGAGCTTCCACCCCCAGAAGCCCGCAGAGCCAGCCCAGTCCTCCCCATCGGGGGCTCGTACCCCATTCCTCCCTCACCTCCTTCCACTTACCCTTCCCTAGCCCCCCTTCTTATTGATGTACAAAATAAAGATAACGTTTCTTCCAACATTGACTCTGTCTTTATTGAAAAAAACTGGGGGAGACTGGGAAAAGGAGGTGGGAGAGGGGAAGAGAAAGGCTGGGAGAGGGGAGGGCAACTAACATGATCAGGGGTTGGGAACAGGTCCCAGATGAAGAGAGGCTACAGAGACTGGGACTGTTCAGCTTAGAAAAGAGGAGACGGAGGGGGGACAGGATAGAGGTCTCTAAAAGCAGGGGTTGGGTGGAGAGGGTGCATTCAGAAAAGTTCTTCCTGAGTTCCCATAAAGAAGGACTAGAGGACACCAAAGGAAAGGAATGGGTAGCAGGCTTGAAACTAGTAAGAGAAAGTTGTTCTTCTTCCCAAAGCAAATAGTTAACCTGTGGAACTCCTTGCTGCAGGAGGCTGTGAAGGCTACAACTAGAACAGAGTTTAAAGGGAAGTGAGATCAAGTCATGGAGGTTGGGTCCATGGAGTCCTATTAGCCAGAGGGTAGGAGTGGTGTCCCTGCCCAAAGTTTGTGGAAGGCTGGAGAGGGATGGCACGAGACAAATGGCTTGATCACTGTCTTCGGTCCATCCCCTCCAGGGTCCCTAGGGTTGGCCGCTGTTGGCAGACAGGCTACTGGGCTAGATGGACCTTTGGTCTGACCCAGTACGGCCATTGTAAGCTCAGGGCTCAGGGTCGGGGGTCTCAGTGGACCCCCTTGATTTTCATGCACACCTGGTCCTGGCCCCCCCACTCTGGTTGTGTTTGTGTGCAAAGGCCTAGCAGAAAGCCTGCTGCTCTGAGAAACTCTTCTCCTAGCAACGGCTATTATCCCCTTTGCCTTGCCTAGGGAGTTTGCAAACATCAAAACATCTGCTCCAGGGGTCAGCTTGCTGCATTCAAAAGTTCAGTCACTTGACTTGCTGCTTGTGTTGTGTGTTGGGACATCACCTGCCCCCTTGTGTTTTCTGCACACTTTCAGAACTATGCCTAGTTAAAGCAGGAGATTGGAGATTTCAGGAGGGATCTTTCTCACTTTCAGAGGAGAGTTTTACTCTTGTGGAATAGATCCATTTGAAAACAATTAAAATAGTGACACACAAAAAAATCCATCACTAAACTTGAAATCTGTGTTGTACCAATCACGGGTGGCTCTCTGTGCTGTATCTTTTGGCAAGTGGAGTATATTTTGTTTTATCTTTTCTTTTATCCTGATTCCGTGCATACAAATTTGTGTTCTTATGTATGGAAAAGTAAAGCATTTGATACAGTCTCACATGACCTTCTTACTAATAAGCTAGGAAAATACGACCTAGATGGGGCTACTGTAAGGTGGGTGCATAACTGGCTGGATAACCTTTCTCAGAGAGTAGTTATTAATGGTTCACAGTCCTGTTGGAGGGGCATAACAAGTGGGATTCTTCAGGGGTCTGTTTTGGGACCAGTTCTGTTCAATATCTTGATCAATGATTTAGAAATTGGCATAGAGAGTATGCTTATTAAGTTTGCAGATGATACCAAGCTGGGCGGGGTTGCAAGTGCTTTGGAGGATAGAGTCATAATTCAAAATGATCTGGACAAACTGAAGAAATCGTCTGAGGTAAATAGGATGAAGTTTACTAAGGACAAAAATCCTCCACTTAGGAAGGAACAATCAGTTTCACACATACAGAATGGGAAGCGACTGCTTAGGAAGGAATACTGCAGAAAGGGATCTAGGCTCATAGTCGACCAGAAGCTAAATATGAGTTAACAGTGTGACACTGTTGCAAAATAAGCAAACATGATTCTGGGATGCATTAACAGGAGTGTGGTGAACAAGATATGAGAAGTCATTCCTCCGCTCTACTCTGCACTGATTAGGTCTCAGTTGGAGTATTGTGTCCAGGCCTGGGCACCACATTTCAGGAAAGATGTGGAGAAATTGGAGAACGTCCAGAGAAGAGAAACAAAAATGATTAAAGGTCTAGAAAACATGTCCTATGCGGGAAGACTGAAAGAACTGGGCTTCTTTAGTTTAGAAAAGAGAAGACTGAGGGGGACATCATAGCTGTTTTTCAAGTATCCAAAAGAGAGTTACAAGAAGGAGGGAGAAAAATTGTTCTCCTTGGCTTCTGATGATAGGACAAGAAGCAATGAGCTTAAATTGCAGCAAAGGAGGTTTAGGTTGGACATTAGGAAAAGCTTCCTCGTGGTCAGGGTGGCTAAACACTGGAATAAATTACCTAGGGAGCTCATGGAATCTCCATCTCTAGAGGTATTTAAGAGCATGTTGGATAGACATCTATCAAGGATGATCTAGATGGTGCTAGGTTCTGCCATGAAGGCAGGGAACTGGTCTCGATGACCTCTTGAGGTCCCTTCCAGTTCTAGTATTCTGTGATTCTATTAATCTTTTGTGGTAATATGATAAACACTCCTACTAACAAAGGCAAATATGGGTTTGGAGGAAAAGTGCTATTCTAGCCCAGCAGTCTTTTGATAATTAACACTTGTTTCTTTTAGGGAATATGGAGGAAAAGTGAAGCTAATGTCCCCATTCTCTCTCCCTCTGATTTTCATCTCCTTTTCAGTGCTTTAGGATGGGCAGCTGGGTGTTTCAGTGAGCACAGTGTGGAGAGAGGGGGAAAGATTCCACTGGAGAACTGTAGGAGACGCTTAGCTTCTCATCTCCTAGCAGCTGAGAGCTGCCTTCATAGACCTGAAGTTAAGGGAGATGCAGGAAGTTTGCAGACCAGCTAATTTACCACAGGGTTTTTAATAAATGGTTTCTGCTGTGCCTTTTTGATGAATTATTTCATTGATACCAATTCTCCACATCATTACAGCAGTATAGTCAATGGGCCTGTTCTATAACCAGGCTTACAGATAGAATGCAAGTTTGCCTTATTGTATACATAGAAGTGGGTAGATCATGGCCATTTATAAACTGTTTTTTCTGCTGTGTTAGCAATGTCTGCAAGTGCCTGTGTTGTCTAATCCTGTTGGGTCTTTGTGTGTGTTTGTGAGAGAGGGCCTCATGGAATGTGTATCCCTTTTTGTAAGAGCATATTTGGGTGATTACAAAGGTCCAGAGGAGGTAAAAGTCCACAAGCTGTTTCCGATGGTGGATGTCTTTCCAAGTGAGAGAACCTCCTGGATATTTGTTATCTAGCTCCTTGGCCTTATAAATTTTGTTTTGTTTCTGCCTTGAAATTCCTGTCCCTCTCCTGAATTTGTTATTTCTTCCAGACATGTTGATGTTACCTTGTATATTCAGGATTTGGGCCCCATTGTGCTTGGTGCTGTACAAACATAGAGTAGAAGAGACCTTGCCTCAGGAAGCTCAGGGTCTAATTTCAATCAGGTTACCAGAGTGACTATAACAGGAGAGAGGTGGGAGAACTAGAATAAAGGAAACTACAGTGAGAACATGTCAACATAAGCTAGCCATGTGCATTGGTAAATGCTTCTCTAGTTAGTTATTAAATTTTATATAACTAATTTAAAGTCCCCATCAGCCGTTCATGGGACATTGTTGAGAGGGCTTACAGGAACTATAGCCAGCCCAAAACTTGCCTTAGTCCCCTGTTGCAGCTGCCACTCTCTGGCTGTCCAGTTCTCTGAGCAGAGCAGAGAGATGGGTAGCTACTGGCTGGGCCTCCAGCAGCAGCAGAGAAGTAAGCCCAAATCGGGGACAGACGCCCCAGACCAGATCCTGGACCCTGTCCCTGCCTACTGAGGCATGCCACTCAGAATAGGTGGTGGGTCTGGGGATCCCCACAGCAGCCCAGAATGACCTGCTCTGGCCCTGACTAGGGATCTTAAATTTAGATTAATTGGCTAATCAGTTTGCATTGACTCCAGCTCCAAGGGTGTTGCTGCACTTCAGTGGCAAAAGCGCTTCAAGGAGCATGAGGCCAGTGGGGGACTCAAGCCATCCCCTGCTGGCCCCGGGCTCCCCACAATGCTTCAAAGCAGCAGTGCCACTTGGAGCCCAGAGTCTGGCCCCGGGCTCCACACAGCGCTGCTGCTTTGAAGCACCCCCTCCACTCCATTTTGCTGCCTCTTTCAGATAGAGGCAGCAAGGTGGGGGGACGGGACAACTAGTCAACTAGCGTGTTGACTATCTGATAGTCTTGGATAGTTGACTAGTCGTTCACATCCCTAGCCCCGGCTCTGTGATACTTGGCACCCCCCCCAACACACACACAGTTGCTGCTTCCCCGTGGCCAGGAGGGCTTTGCCGACCCTGAAGCCACCTGGGAGGCTCTTACTGCTTGCAAATAGCCAGCATGCTACCTGGGTCTGTCTTCTGGCCTGCACCTGGGAGGCGGGGAGGAGGTAGGAAGAGGGGGCAAGGTCAGAGAGAGGTGGAGTCTTGTGGTGAGGAAGAGGCAGGTGCTGCCCCAGCCACTTGCTTTGCTGTCAATATGCTGTAGGTGTCAATGGAGGTGAGTCTTGAGCCTTTCTCATAGAATGGGTAGTCTGGAAGAAGGAGCGATTGCCCCTTCAGGTCCTGGTGGGTGATGGAAAGCCTTTACTTTGCTGCCAGCTAGCGAAAATGTAACAACTTTCTGGGGAGAATAATAGACTGCAGGTTCTAAAGATTACCATGAACGATGATCACCGTAAAATGTCAGTCGTCAGACCACCCCTCCATTTCTTTCTGTGTATCGGGGGCAGGTGGGGAGTTGGCACAGTCAGATTGTGTAAGAGAGACTGTTTGCTCATCAGCTGTCCTAAGCTAACCAACGTAGGGCATCATCTGTACTTGGTTTAGAAACATCAAAGGGGAACGGAGAATGTGGAAAGAAGAAAGATGGACGATTCATTAGGGATGCACTTCCATCTGAGTGGGTGCTAGGCTAATGGCCCAGAATATTGCTAGGAATTGGTGACACTCCGGGAGTGGCACCTTACTGATGAGATGTAAAGCAGAGGCCTTGACTAGAGTGCTGGTGTTAAAGATCCCTTCTAAAGAGGGCCATGGGTAGGGGCATTAGTCTTGATGCATGGCTGGGTTTCACCATAGATTGTTTTTACAGGGCGCACCCCCCCTCTCCCACCACCAACAGTTAAATGACAATCTGGGACTCCTTCGAATGAAAGGTGCTGCACAGATTTTCATTGCTGCTAGTTTTGCTTCTCTCCTGTGCCCCAGCTGCTTGTCCCTGTTCAGTGTGGGGGGGTCATGATTTTAATCAGGTGAATCTGTCTCTGCAGCCTTTGTAATCTACAACTTCCTCAGCCTCTGCTATGAGTACCTTGGTGGGGAGAGCTCTATCATGTCTGAGATCAGAGGGAAATCTATCGAGTGAGTACTCCGTCTTTTTACAGTGCACTCTCTCCCAGCCTTCACTGGGAGCTTCTATATCACAGGATTTATCTTAACCCCTGCCACTGGGAACTGTGTGGTGCAACAAGTGTATCCTGGAACTGGATGATACCACCTCATTCATTGCACAAAGGGCTCAAACTGGATGAGGCCATCCAAATCCTCGCATATGAACTGAGCCTATGTATAGCTTTCATGTTCACTTGGCTTCCCTGTGCTTTCTTCTTTTCTTCCCCCAGTGTATGCTTTCTTTCTCTAGCCCATGCTGTGTGTGACTGCCTGCTCTCCTTTTTTGGTGCCATACCATGCTAGCCAACAACTTCCCTCCCAAAAACCAGTTTTGGAGGGCAGCAATAGAAATACAAAACCATACCTCTGTTCTTGTCTGCATCTCTGAAGGCTTTTGTCTCTATGACCATGACTAACTGGACCTGGGGAAAGCAAGAATCATATTTTTCATTGAGAGGACGTGGGCAGGCAAGAGCCTTCATCTCACTGCTTGCTATATCCTGAGCTCTGCTCTCTGACTCCTCATTCTCTGACTCTCTTCCTCTGTTGCATTTTCAGATCCAGTTGCATGTATGGGACTTGCTGCCTGTGGGGGAAGACATATTCCATCGGATTCCTGAGGTTCTGCAAACAGGTATGAGTTGAGGAAACCCAGGCTGTGTGCAAGAAGCAGGAGAAGAGGCAGTAATGCCGTGCCCATGGAGTTTGAGATGAAGGCTCCTCTGGACCATCCTTTGGGGCATCCTTTGGTCAATGGGTTTATTAGATTGAGCTGAGAAAGGCAGGAAGGTTGGTGAGAGAGACTAAATCTGTTAGTGTTGTAACAGCGTTGAAGCAGGTATGCCATATTGCTCTGCCCACCCAAAAACTAGAAAGTCTTTTAGCAAGGGGAATGACCTGTCTTCTCTGCAGTATCTATTCGAAACCTTGGGGGTCCCTGAGAACTGATGCTTGTTTCCACTTCCCCTCCCGGATGGGCAGCACCTAGATCCTCTATGAGAACTTCATGCCTTCTTGAGTTCCAGAAACCCCCAATAGTTGTGCAAGTGTCTCTTGAGTTCCCCAGCTTTGCCTGTGTGGTTCAGAGTGGGAGTATGGAGTCTGATCTTTGTGACACAGCACTTTGCAGGAGGAACTTCTCCAGCATATTGCTCACTCCAGGGGTGTGCGTGCTGAAGTGGATATGTCAGGAAGAGAGAGAAATCTGAATGACAACAAATCTGTCGTGTGTTCAGTCATGGAGTCCTGGAGGCTGTCACAGCTGGCTGCCACGAGGTAGCAATAAAGGTGGAGATTTGCTAAGTTGCTGAAATTGACATACAGGATCCCTCTGGTGATAGTGATGGAATCAGATTTGGTTAGGTGGAGTGTTGCTTCCATTCTCTGAAAAAAAGTTAACTATGGTCTTCAGGTCTCCCTATGAGATTAGGCCCATTTGCAGCCCTTACATCTCACCAGAGCACCATCTGATCTGAATGAAAAGTTTGTATTAAGATCGAGTGAAAATAGCCTGATTACTGCATTCAGTATTCTTCCCTGAGCATCAAAGTGACCTTTAAGACCATGGCACTTTCTCCCTTCCCCATCCTCCTTTATTGGTTTCTCTCCCTCTTTCCAGCCTTTTGTGTATCTCCTTTCTTCCATGTGTATTTCCTTCCATAAGCAACTCCTAATTCCTTCCTTACCTGTGCTCCACTCCCACCCCATTCTCCATTCCCTCCATTAACATTCTGAGCAATGAAATAGCTCATGTTGACAGTTAAAGTGTTGTCGATTGGCTTTCAAGTAACGTGAGATTAATGGGGCCTAGGGGTAGTTCACGTGAGATTAATGGGGCCTAGGGGTAGTTCACGCCTTCTTTAGAGCTGTTGTCTGCAGAGTCGTGAGGTGGGTAACACTCAGTTCATAGTGGGAAGGTTTCCTTCTCAGCCATGAGGACTAGAAACTTTTATTTTTGGCAATGAAAGCTGGAATTCTGCAGACTCAGTGTGTTGTGCTGGTCCACAAATCAATCAAGTGAGCTGAGGGTTTGACAACGTTGTCTCAAGTATTTTTCTAGACTCTCTTGCTTTCCTGCATTGTGATGACTGTTCTTCCAGATGAGTCTGCCCTTTGCAAACTGCTAGCATTGCTTTCTAGCCTGCCAGAGGGATTTGAGGCACTTTCCTCTCACTCTGTAAAAATTGGGCCGACATTCAACTGCTGTCAGCAATCTTTGGCACCACGCACAGCCTCTGGGACCTCCTTGGGATTCCAGCACTGATGATCAGGAGAACTTCCAGGGCCACCTGATCTTCATGATGACAGCTGAGAAACCTGCTTAAAGGAACACCTTGCCATCTCAGTCCCACTCTACGCTTATCGGTGGGGGCTGTCACCCTTTCAGTTCTTGTCAGCCTTGTTAGAGCTGAAGGCCTCTTCAGCGCCACAACTGTCCTTCCCTTCTCTGCTCATGTACAGGGCTGTTCTCAAGCAGGCATCTGCTGTATCCGTCTGTATTGGCCATGTATATCTTGGGCAGGCAGAATATGTCTACGCTGCAATAAAAGACTTTGTGGGATAGGTGCAGCAGGCCCAGGTCAGCTGCCTCTAATTGGGGCGGCTAAAAGCTGTGGTTTAGACATTTGGGCTGGATCCCAGGCTCTCGGACCCTTCCCCTCTTGAGGGATTTCAGAGCCTAGGCTCCAGCCTGAGCCCAGATATTTGCACTGTAATTTTTAGTCCTGCAGCCTGAGTCCCATTAGTCCAAGTCATTTGACCTGGCCTCTGCGTCTTGGTGCTGCGGGTTTTCTGTTGTACTGTAGGCACGTCCTCAGAGGCCACGGTCCTGGGTGTGGTCTAAAAGTATGGGCAGACAGTTGTCTCCACAACAGGGCATCATGTAGAGGTTCTTTCCCGACTTGTGACCTTTGTGATGTCTGGGTCATGCGCCCACAGTGCGTTTCCCATATCTCTTCATGCTTGCTTCCCCAGGAAATGCCTAAAAACAAAAGTGTGTGGTTTGTGTTGCAGGGAAATAGTTAAACAATCCCTGGAGTAGTGGGGAGAGGAAGCTGAGAGTTGTTGTTTACCAATTAGCTTGACCTTTTCCAGTTCTCATTTTGATGACTCACCCGCTGGCTTGTGCTGGGGTTTTTTTATCTCCTTGAAGTCTTATGACCACTAGCAAATTGCATGTTATCGAAAGCAACCTTCCCTTTGATTTTTTTGCTTTCCTTCTGTCCCCCCCTCTTCCGCTGAGCATGGGTCAGCACCTTGCAGAACTCTTGCCTGATCTGCTTTAGCGAGACACACAAGAAAGTATTAGGATCTTTGCTTTTCATACCCCCTCTGAGCCTTTGGAGTTCAGCTCTGTCTCTCTCTGGAAGTGAAATGTTTCTTTCTGATGTGGTTTGGGGTGGGAGGGAATTTTATGGGGGCGGAGCTTATGAGGCAGCACTGAGGCACCTGCTGATGGAGCAGACAGAACTGCTGTCAAGTTCCAGAAAGCCTGCTGGGGAATTCTCCCTTCCCAGCTGACTCCAGTGCTCCTGCGAGTGAAAGCAGAGCTGATCTCACCTAGCTAAACATTTAGACAGCACTTGTCATCTTATGCAGTTTCATTGGCCAAGATATCCCTTTCTAAGACGAATCCAGAGTGACTTCCTCCTTTATCCCACCTAAGGTGACCACCTGTATTGCAAGCAGCCCCTTTGCCTCCCCCGTTCCCCAAGACACAACTCCATAATGTTCTGTTCAGCACACAGAAGTGTGTGTACCAGGTCACAGGTTCAGATCATGTGCAATTATTACCTGGAAATGTGCTTTTTATCTGATCCAGTGTTTCTCAGGAAATCCTCACTGGACTTGATCATGGAACATTAGGCTCAAGTTAAAGACCTTGATTTAAAGTACAGGGTGGATTGTCTTGTCTCCCTACCTCCATAGTAACCTAGCTCCTGAACAGACTTTCCGTGCGCAGGCAGGTGAGCTTAGGCTCTTGTGGCAGAGGATGGGAAACCAGATGGCTTCACACAATCTGCATCTCTCTCACCTTCTACTCCGGCAGTACTGCAGGGAAGGAATGGTGGCACCAGTGTCCTTGTTAGGGCTGAAACCACGCTCTGCTGTTGGAACTGCTCTGAGGGTGATGCCTGATATTGGTTGCCTCTGAATCAAAGCCTGGTGTATGTATATTGCACTAGTTCTCTCTCCTTCCCCATCTCTTTCCTCTTCTCTCATTTCCCTTAGGCCACTTTGCAGTTCTGTGTGGTGAAGCCCCTCATGGCGATCAGCACTGTCATCCTCCAGGCCTTTGGCAAGTACCGGGACGGTGACTTCGAGTAAGCAAACTGTTTGTCATGGGTTTTCTCCAGCAAGAAAGTTTTTCACACTCCTGCATTTTGCTTCTGCTACCCCAAACTAACACGGCTACATTTCTATCACTATTTCACACTCCTGATACCCCATTTGCTTGTGAAGGAAAGGGCCTGGCTGCCCTAGGTTCTGAGTAACTGCACGTGTTCCTGGTGGGGAAAGGGCACGTGTGGAGAAAAGCACACTCCATGAGTTTCCTGAGATGAGGGAGGGTGATGTGGAGGGGAAAGAAGACATGTGAGAGCTGTGCCAATGGCTTTCATGTTACCTCAGCTGATCTGTGGGGATGTTGGAGGGGAGAGAAACATTGTACCCTTGTATCCAAAAGGCAAGGGGTGAAGGATATTTATGAGCTTCATGGGGTTCACATTTCTTCTCACTTCAGTGTCACCAGTGGCTACCTCTACGTGACGATCATCTACAATATTTCAGTCAGCCTGGCGCTCTACGCCCTCTTCCTTTTCTACTTTGCTACACGCGAGCTGCTCAGCCCCTATAGCCCTGTTCTCAAGTTCTTCATGGTGAAGTCTGTCATCTTCCTGTCCTTCTGGCAAGGTGAGGCACCTCCTTTCTCTAGCATGCAGTAGAAGAGCTCTGGGGATGTAAAAGCTGGTGGAACAAGTGTTGAGTACTCATGAGTTTGTTTTGCTTGTCCCGGGAAAAGTGCTCTCCTCAGTCATCTTTGTTCCTCCCCTGGTGTCTTCAACATACACCTGCCTGGCAAACCAGCTGCTTGTTTCATAGGTAGCCATGGGTAGCTCTGCCGATGACAAGATGCAACTGGCAGGAGTTTATTTGCATCCTACGGTTGTATTGCTTAAAGTGACAAACCTGAAATCACGTGTGTCTCTTAAAGATTATCAACAACTCTTCAGTCACAAGTTCATATGCCCTTCTGCTAAGTGGCACATCAGCTAAAACATGTGGCTGCAAAACCCTCACAGGATCAGGGCAAGATGCATAGAAATGCTGCAGAGAAAGTAGAAAACTGAATTCATGGGCTGGTGTAAATATGCTGTGATTAGAAAAAATGTTCATATCTGTGTTCAAATCTGTTGCTATTTAATGTCACAAGTTGCTATTTTCCCTTTGTACAACCAAACAGGGTGGATGGGCGCACCTGGCTAACTTCCTTGTGTAACAGTTGTTTTGTTAAACAAGTTTGCCTGGGTATGTGCACAATTGGCCATGATCGTTCTGTGGGGAATTGAGGGCGGGCTTTGTTTTTCCTCACTTGTGTTTGAATCTGCTGCCCTGCTCAGGGATGCTGCTGGCTATTCTTGAGAAGTGTGGTGCCATTCCCAAGATCCACTCTGCCAATGTGTCTGTGGGTGAAGGTACTGTGGCTGCTGGCTATCAGGACTTCATCATCTGTGTGGAGATGTTCTTCGCAGCCCTCGCCCTGCGCCATGCCTTCACCTATAAGGTCTATGCAGACAAGCGTCTTGATGCACAAGGTACAGGCGCCAGCCATTCTGGGGCGGGTGTGCGTATATTTTTGTTGGCAAGAACCCCCAGTTGGCAAGAAGGGGGACAGTCAGTACCCTAAGCTGGTTTATTGGGTCCTAAACTCCCAATCAGGGTGTACTCAGGAAAGTGTCCTCTCCCCAGTTACAGTTGCACAATTTCAGTGTGCAAAAACCTTACAGGTCAGAGCCTCGTTTGATTTATTTATTTTTTTTCCAGTGTTTCTTTTTCAGTTCCTCAGTACTCCACCCAGGACAGCTGGCTGGAGACTTCAGAGCTGTAAGAATTAGTCTCCCTGTCAGAGAGTGGCATAGTAGCCTCTTTCCTCTGTCTCCATGGGGGAACGCCACATGTTCAGGTTGTGCAGCAGACACAAGGGAGTCAGGGAAGGGGTCTGAAGCAGCCCTGTTTTCCCTAAAACTGAGGGAGATGGAAGTGTGTGTCCTAGGCACGAGGGTGTGGGATCTTCCTGCATTGGCATTCAGAAACAGAGGGATCAGACCAACTCATGGGAAGATGAAGTGCATCAGCAGAGGGATTTGGAAGCTGGCCAGTGAAGAGAGGATATTCTTGTGCCCACCGCTGTACCAGTGTGGGGTATGGTTTCCTTCCCTTTGGAGATGGGATCTGCATCGTGTGCAGATGGCATGATCATTCCATCCCAGCAAGCCTAGAGGCTCTGGCAGGACAGGTCACTCCAACAATAGGGGACTTTGGGTTGGAAATGAGGAGTCCTGCTCTCCCGCAAACATACAGTCTGCATGCGTTAAATGAATGGTTAAATTGCTACCCAGCATTGTGGGGGTGTTTTGGTGGCGGGTCTGAGAATAACTTGCTTGTTCAGCCTGTTATTTCCCATCTTTCTGTCTCTTTTTTTTTTCTTTTTTCTCCTTTCTCTCTCTTTTTCTCCCTTGCTTTGGCTACTGGTTTCTGATGCAGCTGTTCCATCGTATGGGCCCTACGGTAGGTGCCGTGCTCGGTGTATTCTTCAGTAGCTCTTAACTTAATTTTTCAGACTAGTTTTCCATCCCTCTCCAGCAATATCCTAATCCTTTCCTGTGAAACACTAACTGGCAAATTCCAGCATC